CCGTGCTCCCCGCGTGCGCCGTCCGGTTGCCGCCAACCAACCCCCACGCCAGGGACGTCACCCTCTGCTGGAATGTACTAAATGTCATCAGAACTTCCGTAGTTGTCAACATCACCCCGATTGTCGCGGGCCCGAGCCTGCTAATCGTACATGCCAGTACTGTCGCCGGATTTTTAAGGGGGAGCGTGCCATAGCCGTACGCAAAAATCATGAACGTTACTCACATACAGATGAGGCACTGCGCGACGGAATCATTGTTATAAGGAGCCACGCAAACGTACTCGGGGAGGCTAGACAGGGTTATCAGGTTCGGCTAGGTCGGAACGCGAGGCTCAGTTTGCTGGTGCCTACACGTAGCCATGACAGCTCAACGCGTTCTCGCATTCACTCTGCTCCTCCTGATCTGGTCCTGCTCATGGCGCGAGGGAATGGGAATGGAGGGGGGGGTGAAGCCAGGAAAAGGAACCTGGATGAAATGGAACGGAGGCTCCAAGGAGTTGAGGATGCACACACAGGGTTGAAAACCCGACTGGACAACGTGGAACTCTGTTTGGAACTTGAGACAAGTTATAAGTTCCTTCGGGTGGAGAGCAGCAGTGGGTTACATGCTCTGTTCCAGGAGGTGGAGGCGGGCACATGCCCAAAGAGCGAAATCAGGGCCCAGGCAGGTCAGGCACTGGCAAGGGAGGTTCGAGAGGTATTGGAACGGGAAACAGACGAAGGCCAACTCAAGGCCAAAAGCGATGAACTGTCCAACAGCCGTCGCAGGTGGCCGACCGCAGCAGAAAGAACAGCCACACTGGATTCATGGCAACTCGAACGGGTGGTTGAATGGGTTTCCAAGCAAGGGCAAGGGTACAGTGTTCGGTTGCGTCAAGGTGAGCCCAGCAGATTGTGCCACGAGCAGGTCCAGAAGTGCCTCAACTGGAGTCTTTTTGTGTACTCCAAATTGGCTCCGCAAGGAGCCAGTCACCTCCAGGTCTATCCTGACCGCGGTCCAAAACAACGCAGCAAAGGGAAGGGAGGCAAGGGCAACGGCCGGGCCGCAGGGCGAGGCAACAAGGGAGGTAAGGGGAACAAGGGGCGGGGAGGTGCTGCGCCACCGCCTTGAGATGATGGAGGCTGGGACAACATACCGGCGGTCGGACAACTCACACAAGTATGTGCGGATACACCATCCTGGTTCCCTCCTTTTCGTCCTCGATTTTGGATCTGCCCGATTCCCCTTCTCTACTTCAATCTGCGGTCTAGTTCCGCCTATATTGTCCTTTTTCTCGGTCTTCTTTGATCAAGGTGAGGAACACCCCATGTGGGTCCCTCCAGGTTGACAGCGGTCTTAGCGGGACCCTGTCCAGGTTGATCATTGATTCCGAGTGCCTGGGTACCAACTTGCTCCTTGAACTGTTTTCTGCCTTCTCTCCACAGGATCACTGTTTCAGATACGCGACCCCCGTCTCCCCCCGCTCCCCCCCCTCTTCGTACACAGAAGCATATTACATACCAAAAAATGATACTCTCAACTACTTAGGGTCTAGAATGGGTGTGCCTTAGGGTATGAGGAGGCTAAGGTCTGACATGGTGGGACCGATCAAAGTAGACCTTTTTCCTAGTTCATTCTAGACCCCTTATATATACGGGACAAGGAAACTATAGACATTTTATACTCCGGCATTTACACTATAGGTTTATCACTTTAGACCTCGCGCCTGTTTTTTGATATTTTTTGAGCTTTTATTGAGCCTGATCCATCAAGAGCTTGATGAGTCAGTAAACATCTATATAGCATTTCAAAATAAACACATCTCCGGCAAAGGTCAGCGCATGGCATGTCAGACCCACAAAAGCATATTCTACAGTAGGACCTGAGTCAACAGCAATCCCTATGTTGGGACACCTGGAGAGGGTCTACGAAGGAGTCGCCAAAGCACAAGCGTGTGATCTGCTGCCTCAAAAGTCACTCCAGACCAAGTAAGACC